GCTTGGGGCGGCACCTGGAGGGGGGCGGCGCGGCGTGGCGCTCCGGCCGCTGGGGAGAGCGGAGCCGCAGTGGGCTCGCCGCCCTCCCCCGGTGCTCTGGCCGCTGGGGAGAGCGGAGCCCCGGCTGGGCTCTCCGCCCTCTTCCCGGCGCTCTGGACGCTGGGGAGAGCGGAGCCCCGATCGGGCTTGCTGCCCTCCCCCGGCGCTCCAGCCGGTTGGGGAGAGCGGCCTGTGGCCGGGCTTGGCGCCCTCCCCTGCCGCGTTCCGGGGGGAGGGGAGCGCGGCGGGAGGCTTTTTTGCCTGGGGCGGCAAAAAAGCCAGAGCCGGCCCTGAATCTAAACAACAAATGAAACAACAGTTTATCAAGGGCCATATCAAGGGCCTGATGCAAAGTGTACCAAAGTTAGTGGAAAGACTCCCATTAACTTTAGTGAGCATTGGGCAGATCTACACTAGAAGCGCTACAGCGGTGCAGCTGCTCTGCATCTGGTGAAGACACTATGCCAACAGGAGAACGCTCTCCCATCAGCATAATTATGCCACCTCCACGAGAGGCAGAAGCTATGTTGCCGGGAGATCACCTGTGTGGACAGCACTTAGGTTGCTTTAACTTGTGTCACTCAGGGGCTGGGGTGTCTTTTTCACAGCCTAACATGAGTTAGATCAACTTAAACGATAGTGTAGACCTGCTCATTGACTCAGGGTCTAAGAGTAGACCTGGATGAATGCTGCAAACAATTTTCTGTGAATATTAACTTGATTTTTTAAGTGAATTTGTTCCAAATATTTATTCCCCTTTAGTGGTTACTGTCTGCAACTATGGTAGCCAATATGGTTACAATAGAAAGTTTTAAGCAAATACTGAAGAATATTCACAGAAGGCAAATTTTGAACTTATCATAAGAATGAGGACTTGCACCAGAAACCTGACTCTCACAGATTCACCCATTCGATCAGGAAAAAGAAACATACCATGTATGCCATGTGTCCAATCAAACAGCTTGCATTTTGAATATCAAATGTTCCTGATCATCTGCTTTAATAAGCTACAAATCAACAATTCTTTGCAGAAATTATTTGGTGAATCATTTTAAATAATAAATCTGTGAACAATCACGATCTGTCTGTGTATAATTTGCAAATAAAAAAGGAGGGGATATTTGTTGAGAACATAATTTGTTGTGTAAATTATTTGTTGTTTATTTACCCTACTGTACTTAGGACTTTGTTAAATAGGGTCTGCTCCTGTCAAGTGCTATAAGTAAGTTGCTGAGAACCCTCTAGCTGTTGAGAATTGAATGGTTTTGGTGTATGTCTATCTATCTATCGTATTTAAGAAGTGTTATTCTCCCTAGCATCCAGTTGTCATCTAAAATATGGGTCCCTAATTTGCTTGTATTCGGTGCATATAACTGGGCTATATGGTTATAAGAGACGTTGTTTTCTTTCTTTTTGTTGGTGGGAGAAGGGCACAAATGAACCTATGTCCTGATCCAACATCCACTGAAGCCAATGGATTGACTTCAGTGAGTGTTGGATCAGGACCCTGGCCATAAAGTTGCTGGGTATGGAGACATGTTAGTCTCCATGTTAATGCCTCCAGAATTGCTAACCTCTTCAAAAGGGATGGGGTGATGTGGCCTGAGGGTGAGGTGCAGTGAGGCCAGTGGAGCTAGGGAAGCTTGGGAAAGGAGAGCAAGAGCTACCTTTCCTTAAAGTGACAGGGCTCTTGCTAAAGCATGGCCCATCTGCATACGCCACAGGCCTGATCCTAAGCTCATTAAGGTAAATGGATAGGCTCCTATTTCGTTAAGTGGGTTTTGGATCAAACTTACAATGTGGAGCTGTTCTGTAAAGTACAATGTGGTCCTGTGTCTGTCCTGTAACTGGACCCATATGTTCTCAAACTCCCAGAGAAACTGGACAGTATTCCATATAGAAGACACTAAGTCTGTACCAGCTTCTAGCACCAGAACCCCTGGTCTTAGCTTATTAACTAGCCCATCATTAAACAATGTTAAAGGTCTTTTTCTCCAAGATCATTGTGTGACTCTCTTACATAAAATTGCTGCCTTTTTTATTCCAGTGCACTAAATTATAAGATCAGTTTAAAGTGTGATGCTCATGCACTGTGTCTTGCCAGACAGAAGTTTATTATTAAAATATTATCCCAAAAGATATTAGAAAGTATATATATTTTCATTTATAAATGGTGTTTCCAGCTAAAGGCAATTTAAAATGTATCTGTGAGTGAGTGAGAGAAAGAAAGAGAATGCAAAAGTAGTTTGTTCAAGAAACATGGGTAAAATTCTGTGTCACTTTCTTAATAACCATTATTTTCAGAGAACAATCATAATTTGGCTGACCATAGCACACCATACTGCCATGTGTTTGTCTCTTCAAGCACATGTAGGTTAGGACAGAGATCTCAAAAATACTAGGTTATGGGACAGTAGTTCTCAAAATTATATCTTTTTTAAATTAACATTCCTATAGCCTTAAAATTCCATTTGCTGCCCTGCAAGATGAACACTATTGAATTACATTCCGTTCCTGCAGCAAAGACATTCTTTTTCTGTATGACTGGTGGAATTTTAAGGCTCTCAGATTATAACTAAAAAAATAAATCATGCATAAATGTTCCATTTTATAACATTCTTTCTAAAGCTGGCTGTATACTCAGTGATTGGTCTATATGTGTAGATCATAGCAGGTCCAATTATTAACTGAAAATACAGAGTGTGTGTAACAGGATGGCCTGCCTCTATCATGGTCTGGAGCCAGTCAGCCCTGTTCAATTATCAGACCCAACTGGGAAAGGGGCAGGTGTTTTCTATAAAGGACTGAGAGAGCACTGTTAGGAGGAGAGCTGCAGGAGAGAGGTTGATTCATGTGACTACCCTGGAGTAAAAAGAAAGGTGCAGAGTGAAAGGCCCCATGTCCCTATGGCCTGTGTTGATTGGGGAATAAGCAGTCAGGTATTGCTACTCCAGCTGAAATAGCACCCACAGTTTTACATTCATGCCACATTAACAAGGCTATTTAAACATAAAATATTAAGTATTAGAGGGGTAGCCGTGTTAGTCTGGATCTGTAAAAGCAGCAAAGAGTCCTGTGGCACCTTATAGACTAACAGACGTATTGGAGCATGAGCTTTCGTGAGTGAATACCCACTTCCGACGAAGTGGGTATTCACTCACGAAAGC